CAAAGAGGGGGGATAGAGGAAGAGGGGACATTGAACATGGGGGGGAGAGGGGATGCGGCACGAAGAGGAGACACGGGAGATGTGGGATATGGGGGGAAGGGGATGTGGCAGGGAGAAAGGATATAGGATGGGGGAAGGAGCATGTGGGAAAAGGGAGGATGTGTGGAGAGAGGGAATGCGGGGGTGACATGGGAAGGAGAGGAGACGTGAAGGTGAAAAGGGACATAGGGATATGGAGAAATGGAGGGGAGGACATGGGGACGTGCTGGGGCGAGGGAGGGAGTGTGTGGGCGCTGCCACATCAGGAAGGACCCAACTAGGGTAAAACTCACCCCAGACGTGGGCAGGAGTGGGGATCTGCGTCCCACAGGCGCAGCACTGGGGGTCTGGTTGGGGGGTTGTGCCTGTTTTCATCCACAGCATCACCAGGTGGGGGGTAGCAAGGTAACGCCCGCCCTGGCGTAGGTCTCAGCTGTGCATAGAGTGATGGGAGGCAGCAGATATGCAGTGGCACCTTCCCTTCCTCTCTACCCGCTCCCTGGGTGTGAATTCCAGCAGATTGCCTTCGTATAAATGCAAATAAAACAGTAAATGGGAGCTTTTCCTTTTTCAGTCAATAGAAGGAGAAGGAAATGAGCCACCATGTCTGAGGGCAGCAAGGGGAGCTCGCTGGCCTTTGGCCAGGTGGTGATCGGGCCTCCAGGCTCTGGGAAGACGACCTACTGCCATGGCATGCAGGAGTTCATGGGCAGGATCGGGCGCAAAGTGACGGTGGTGAACCTGGACCCTGCCAATGAGGCGATGCCCTACCAGTGTGCTGTGGACATCTCTGAGCTCATCACCTTGCCCGACGTGATGGAGAACTTGAAACTGGGACCCAACGGGGGGTTGATCTACTGCATGGAGTACCTGGAGGCCAACTTCGACTGGCTGCAGGAGAAGCTGGCTGCGTTCAGGGGTCACTACTACTTGTTTGACTGCCCAGGGCAGGTAGAGCTCTACACTCATCACGATGCCCTGAAGAACGTCTTCACGCAGTTGGCCAAGTGGAATTTCAGGGTAGGTTTGGGGCTCCGCAGGGAGCTGGGCTCAGCACCTGGCACCCTGCATGCTTGTGCAAGGGGCTCGGAAGGTGTGTGCCGTGTGGTCAGAGCTTTTGATTGAGGGCATTAATGGCTGTTTTCTTTACTAACCTGTTTGCCCTTTCATGTGAAACAGCTTTATCAGGGAAGGAGGGGAATTTGCCCTATTTATGCTTGGAGGGATTGGCAAAAGAATTGCTTGTTCAGGGCATTTAATGCAGTGGGATTATCATGAACAGAAACATAGATTCCTTCCTCACACACCCTTGGTGTGCTCCAGGGTCCTCTCTGCACACCTTGTGTGTTTTATCTGAGCGGGGACTGTATTTCAGAGCAGGGAGGTAGATGTGTGCGCCGGGCGGGCAGGGACCCTTTGCACTGCACTGAGAGAAATTCAGGCGTCATCTCGGGCCCTCCCTGGCTCTCCTGCATCCAAGTCGAATTGCTCTGCACGTTGTAGTACGTGCTCTCTGCTTTCTTGCACAATGGAAGATGCAAATGAGGAAGCGCAGGTGAGAAGAATCCCATAACCAAGCTAAGTTGCTTATGTTGCATTTGTTTTGCATTTGGGCCAAACCATGAATGGGCAAACTGTGTATGGTGTGAGCAAGAAGGGCAAGTTCATTTGCTTGAGAATGTCACTGCACTTTAGAGATTATTTTTATTCAAATAAATGTACATGAAATTGTAGTTACTAAAAAAAGATAGTTTACACGGCTGTTCTGATGCTCACTCGAGCGCTTACACCTGCCTGTGAGCTTTAAGCTGGCTTTTTTTTTTTTTTTGCTGCAGAAGCATAGCTGTGACTCAGCCACACTCAACTGTAGAGCCCTGACTCCGAGTAACCTTGCGTAACAGGCAGTAACTTAACAGAGATCTCGGACCACGTTGTTACAGCTGCATGAAACACAGGGAATCAAACTGCTCATTAATTTAATTATTGATAATTATTTCAAACCACATGGCAATCAGTTCTCCCAGCAGAGCGTGGTGTGCTACAGTTACTGCTCCTGAGCGTACGCTTGTGCGTGAGCATTCCTGTGGGGAAGGTGGAAACCTGGAGGCATTTGTGTCATTCTGAATGAGAGTTAACCCCAGCTCCTACCCCCAAAAAACCGGCAGAGTTCAGACAAGCATGGAAACTTCATCTGCAAAGGAAGAAGCCCTGAGAAAAGGGAGAGCAGTTGCAGGTTTCAGTGTCTTTCAGTACTGCTGGTGGAGCTCAGCGCCCCTATAAGCCTCCCCACAGCCCTTTGTGTGCACCAGCACCCTGGGTCCTCAATCCCCAGGTGGTCCATGGGCGTGAATGTGGCTGTAT